TGAATCGGTTTGTACAGCCGCAAACACCGAATGGTGCATCTCGGACTTCAACTTCAATGACCGGAAGTCTGTCCAGATCACGACCACCGCCTTGGATCTGTCAACTTATGCCTTGTTGACGGCGGATGAGGATCCGCTGATTGGCATGTCTGGTAGTTCCGCGTTCTCGTCTGCTATGTCGTCTCCATTACCACACCTTAAGCAGGCCACATCAGACACCGATGTACCAGGTCAACGCGGAAGGTACATGGCTGTGGGAACCACCACGGGAATGGTGTTTGTCTGGGACGTCCGATCTCCGGCCTCGAGGAACCCCGAGATCATCAAGGACATCGGGCCTATCCGCGTCATCCAGACTGAGTCGCCGCAGGTGTCTAGCGTAGCATTGACGTCGCTGTACTTGGTGCATGGAGGCAACGACGGCCTCGTTCAGGCCTGGGATCCTCTGGCATCCTCGACCCGGCCTATTCGGACCATCAACTCACGGTTTTCCTCGCGCGCTCGTCGCCGTCTCGTCCAAGCCGAGGCATCCATGCATGGAATTGGCAACAACTATTACGCCACCGGCGCTATCTGCCTCGACACGGATCCTACTGTGCTGCGTGGCATGGTCGCGTTAGGCACTCATCTGCGCTACTGGTCTTATAGCGCCTCCGCTGCCGACCAGTACAAGTCCAGCAAGCGACGACTGCGTCGTGGGCTCCGAGGCAGCAACGGCGCTACAGACGGCGGCCAGCGTTTTAACAACAGCGGCCGTGGCGCACTGAACGACTACATCCAGGACGAACGGGTGGAAATGGAGCGCCAGAGGATTGCCGACGAGAAGGAACGGGCGCATTTAAGCCAGCGCTTCGGCGTGGATCTCCTGGGGCCCGACGTGAGCGAAGACCAACTGCTCGCATACGCCCAGCTCCTTAGCGAAGAATCCTTCTCTAGTGAGGCGGTCAAGCGGGGTGGCAGCGATATCGCTTTACCCGGCGCATTTCCCAGCGCCAGCTCCGCCGTCAGCACCTCTCCAAGCGACACCATCGGTCCAAACGACAGCTCCTTCGCGCCGGACGAGCTCTCCTCCGCCTCCTCCCCGTACGAAGACCCTCTGGACGACGAAGAGAACCTTGACCCCGAGATCGCCGAGGCCATCCGTCTCAGTCTCCTGGACCAGCCTCCGCTCCCCAAGCCCGACCTCGGCCCGCCTGCGTTCGACCCAACCCCCTATTCCACTTCCCCATCTCCTCAGCCAGCCTCGACCTCCCCGGTCCTGCCCGAGAGCAGTCGCCAGCAGGAGATCGACGACCTGGAATTCGCGATCCAGCTGAGTCTCGCCGAGGCGGAGAGCCAATCTCAGTCCCAGCCGGAGGAATTCCCCGCCCTCGCCCCGTGGTCGGCTACCCCGCCGCCTCCTCCGCCCTCGTCCGGCAGGGATAAAGGCAAGGGGCGCGCCCTTTGATCCGAGTTTTTCGGATCTTTTATAGAAGTAATCCCGTGCTATATTGCGTCCGTGTAATTTTTCTAGGTGTTTGTTTCATATCTTTTCCGGAATTATGTCCGCAGGGCGGTTTTCCCCCTGTGTGGTGATATTTGTGGTTGTTGTGGTGCTGTACCTACGATGCGCTTTCTGTGCCTTGTTTGTTCTTGCAGGGGTTGGTTTCTAGACGTGCTTTCGGGGTTATTGTAACTTGTGATTCAGATATTGAATGGATGGATCTACACGTGCATAATAGAAGAGAATCTACACAAAAGAGTGGGGGACTGAATATACCGTGAAACACTTGACTGAAACTCACACATAGCAGCACACTTCGTAGTAAATGTCAGGTCCTTGTTCTCAGACTACTTGCCCCGTAACTATCTGGTTAAACATATACATAACAATAAACGTGCAAAAGCACGCTGACCCAGGAATGCAGCCCGAAAGGGAAAGGTGTGGTATATACAGCAGATGGATTAGACGATATCGATATACTCGTAGCATAAAGCAGGGCAACCAAAGCAACCAAAGCAAGCAACCAAAGACCTCATATTCCCGTGTCTCCCTCCCCATTCATGCCAGGCCCATGGCCCCGGCCCCCGGGGCTTTCAAAAATGGGGGATGTGGAACAAAAACAGACCAGACCTGTCATACTTTGTACATGAAATTCGTCTCCACGCCCACCGACCAAACCGGGGTCAGGGTGAGGCTCCCTGCGGGATTAAGAACACGTTCGCCGGGAACAAGAGAATCATCGTATAGATCAATCAAAAGGATGAGCGAGCTAATGCCATAAGAACATCGGCGCGCGTAAGAAAAATATATAATTCAAGATTCTATATAATGTGTTGAGAATGGGTTCACAGCAAGAAAGCGGCGAACAGGGTGACTCCGCTCAGGAGACCGAGGACGGAGGCGGACATCTGAGCGGCGGCGGTGGTAGCACCGCTCTCGTGGGAGCTGGAGGAGCTCGAGCTGCTGGAGCTGCTGGAGGAGCTGGAGGTGCTGGACGAGCTGGACGAGTTGCTGCTGGTCGTGGTGGAGGTCTCGTTGTTGGGGACGTTGGACGCGTCGTCGGCCAGGACGGTGTACTTGATGCTCGAGAGCTTGCCGCCGCTGGAGGAGTAGACGGTCTGGGGGATCGCGGTCGACGAGACGGTGACGAGCTTGCCGACGGTGGCGTTGGTGAAGCCGTTGCTGATCCAGTCGTCGACCTTGGTGGGGCGGCTGGGCAGGTCCCAGGAGTTGAGGAAAGTGCTGGTGCTGATCAGCGCCGAGTCACAGGTGACGGCCTCTTGAGAGGTCTGGGTCGCGTTAGAGGACTCGATGCTGCTCATGTCCAGCTTGCCGTACTGGGTCTTCAGGTTGTCGTAGTCGGTCAGCAGGGAGACGGTGTCGCTGCTGTTGACGGCGACGAGACCGTAGTTGTTCGCCTCCTGCGTCCACTCGTAGACCAGACCGCCCGAGAAGACGGCGGACATCTCCTTGCCGTAGAGGGTCGCAACCTCGGAGAACGTGCGGGGCGTCACCAGGTTGCAGCCGTACTCGGAGAAGAAGACGGGCAGCGAAGAGTTGGAGAAGTCCTCGACGAGCACGTCGTAGCCACTCTCCTTGTAGGTGGAGTCTCCGCACCAGGAGTAGGAGTTGAGACCGAACAGGTCGGCCTGGGAGCTGGTCGAGTTCTTGAGGTCGCAAGACAGGTAGTTGAGGGTGTCAACGAGGATGGGGCGCACGTCCGCAGCAGAGTAACCGACGGGGATGGTCCGGTTTGCGTTCTTAGCGATGTAGTCCTTCATGTCGCGGGTCACAGCCTGGGAAAACATCGGATTTTAGCTATGTTGACATTTGACAGTTGGCATGAGCGCAAGGCAAATAACGTACCCGAATGTAGGCAGGGGCCTCGTAGACACTGTCCTCGTTGATGACTTCGTTGCCCGCAAAGAAGGCAAGGGTGTTGGGAAAGTCCTTGAAGGCCTCGATGACACCGAAGACTTGCTCAAAGTACACGGCATTGTAGGTGCCAGAGGGGTCGGTACGATCCAGAGAGCCGCCGTACAGCGGGGAGTTAACATCCAAGATCATGTAGATACCGGCACCGTTGAAGATGGAAGCACACTTGCTGTGATCGATGGTGGGCGACAAGTTGTAAACACGGATAGTGTTGACACCAAGGCTCTGCATCAGGGCGGCATCACGAAGACAGGCGTCGGGCTGGCTGAGGGGATCCTCAGTCGTACTGAAGCCAGAGGAACCACCAGGCTGGTAACTGTGTACGAGTGTCGACTATCAGCGATTCTGTTTCTATGCAAATGGCATGACCAGGGCGAACTGGACTGCGGGGGCTTGCTTACTCGACACCCAGGATCTGGAAGCGATCACCAGTCTTGCTGTTGACAAAATCGGTGCCTTTGACAACAAGGGGGGTGACAGCATTGGCAGTAGTAGCCAACGCGCACGCAGTGGCGAGCAGACGAGCGTAAGTCTAGGTAGGGTTAACTGTTGTTCTTGGCTGGGATGATCATGATGATCACGATCATGAGGAAGTATAGGATGGTTTGTTGCCTGAAAGGGGGGGCACCCACGGGAACCATCTTTTCTTTTCTTTTTGTTTTCTCTCTTCCTTCCTTTTCTATAGAAGCTGATGATGATGATGATGATGATATTCAAATGTGCGCAAAGTGCAACAGCAACAACACAATTCTAGGTCGATGTCTAGCACCGAATGCAGCGAGCGATAATCTCAGAACGAGTGAACGAAGGACTTAACCAACGGAAAAGAAACGAATGACGAAGAAGGGGAAGGAAGAGGGAAGCAGCGAAGGGGAATTCAGGCTAACGCTTACAGAATAAAAAAAAAGCAGGGAAAGCGAGCATGATTAAGTACAACCAACCTTCCAAGGTCAGGGAAGGGAAGGGGGGGAGGGCCGGGCAGCAAGACATGAACCCATCCCTGGCCATTTCTCTCCTCCACTAATACTTGAGCAAGTACTGTTAACCAGTGGTTTTCGGTGGTTTAATCACGGTAAATCCATCGCGCAAATTGGCAGTGGACCTGGTCAACCTCGCGTTCCACCCTCATTGGCCTGACCGGCACTGGGGCGAGACAAGCGGCACCGACGATCGACCCTGGCACGAGCTGCGAATTATTGCGCTGCTCATCCATTACGCACTTCGAGGTCCGTGATTCATGAAACAAAGGATCATCGGCGGAGTGAGTGGCCCCCCCCGTCATTCATTCATTCTTGCATTCATGCAACGGTCGCAGATAACTGCAGTTAACTTGGACCTTTCATCCTTAGTATACTTATACTTTTAATCATCTTTTATAGCGACTATCACCCATTTTCTTCCCGATGACCCCGTCTCACAGCAATAAAGAGAACCACTGCTCGCTTCTAAGAATACACGCCCCAGCAGAGAACAAATAGCCGGAGCAAGGAAATCACGGAAAAACATGAAAAAAATCATCAGCATCAACCCACACAAGTCATGATGGCGCCGAGCATTACCAAGAGATGTCCGTCTCATCGACACTCAAGACCCAATGCAAATATACAGGGGAAAACGATAAAAGGAATAAAAAATAAGGCAAGCAGAACACATGAACGACCTAGGAAATTACACGAGTAGCGGAGAGGGAAAGCGGGATCAAAGAGGATGTTTAGACAGATCCGTCCGGGAGGGTTTGCAGCCAGACCATGACCCTGCAGAGACTGGAGGTCACCACAGTAGCGACACCCGTTCCAGATCAGAGGTGCAGGTTCGAGGCAGAATGCGGACGGATGGAGAAGGAAAGAGTAAAGGACAAAGAGAATCGATCACGGCGGACGAATTTACTCCACACCGTGGCTCTCCGGGCCGGAGCTCTCTGCCGTGAAGGAGCCGAGCTGGAGGCCGGCATCCATGGCGACCATCTCAGCCAGGATCTCTAGGACCTCCTTGGGAACCGTCTTGTCGTAGATGGAGATGAGGTCCTTAGGCTGGGGGTAGACCTTCAAGGCCTTGTAGAAGCACAAAGCGGCCTCAACGGGTTCTGCTCCAAGGTTGGTATCTATATCGCCGGAAGATTGCGGAGAAAGGGCGCGGAGGTCGAATTACCGCGGAAGACACATACCTTCAGCACAGAGGGACTCGCCGCGAGCGACCTGACCCATGAAGTAGGCCTCCTTTTCCTCCAAGTCCGTAGGGAAGCCCTCGTCCTTGGCTTGCTGCACGGCGGCCTTGATGGACTCGCGCTGCATGGCGCCCTGGGCCTCGGCTTCCTCCTTCTCAACGCGGGCCATGCGGCGGTTGTTCCGCTTGAGGGCGCGACGGAACTCGGGGTCGGTCTGGCGCTTGTGATCGAAGTAGACGGCGTAGGCTAAACAGGTACGGAGAGCGAGTTAGCAACACGCACGTCACGCAGGCCATAGATAGCATGGCGTAACTGAGTCTTACCCAGAAGACCGGTGATGATCGTGCCGGCGGTGGCGGCCACCAAAGTGGAGGTTCTCATGATGTAGGTGGGGATGGAGGAGACGGTGATGACCGGGGAGAGACAGCGAAAACGAAAACAGCAGCGGGAGATGGAGATGTAGCGAGTCGACTCGAGGGGAGAGAGTTGAAGATGACGACGAGATGCGAATGGCTCAATTGGGGAATGATTTTGCCGGGATCATCATTTCTCCGCATCGGACTTACCCTCCCGCTTCGGCCTTCGTGCCTGGAGTTGATCATCATCATCATCGGCCGTCGTTGTCGTTGTCGTCTCCTTCCCCTCTATTATTCTTCCCTCTCTCTAACAATACTCCCGCTCGATTGCAGGTTCAATCTTCTCCTCTTCTCCTCTTCCCCCTCCCGCCCCCCTCTCACCTTTCCTTCCTGCTACGTCACCATGGAAAGCCGTGGCTTGACCCTTCGCAGCAAATCTCGCCGTCCTCGACCCCAGATTAGTGCTCCGAAGCCCATCTCCGGCCCTCTTCCGCCTAATACCATCAGCCCCAGTCCCAGCACTTCGACCAGCGCTTCCGCTGTCAGCAAACCCGCCGTCCCCGTGCATGGGACCACCGCCAGCTCTGCCAACAAAGATGCGACCTCCGATCTCGTCAAGCGACGGTACTCGACCCGGTTCAACCAAGTCCCTGACTTTGATGGTGTGCCGCCAGTGCCCGGCCTACCTCCGCTCCCGGCCACGTATGGAGGACTGAGCCCACCCGAGACGAGTCGCCGACCCTCCACCGAATCGTCGGGTCCGCCAAAGGTGGACTTGGATGCGCTGCGGGATCCCAGTTTGCCCGTCGATAAATGTGAGTTGGCGTGGCTTTATTTCCAACCCAGCCGGCTTCTTGGACGCTGACTTTGGATCTAGATGTGGCCAACCTGCTTGCGAACGCGTCGGAAGAAGAGATTGAGGAATACCAGCGCAGTCTACGAAAAGTCAAGAACCGAACATCCACCGACCTCCAGCAGAATGTATACCAGAACCGGACCCAATTCATCAAGATCAGTAAAGAAGCGGAAAAGCTCAAAGGGGAAATGCGCACCCTGCGCACCCTGATGGCGGAGCTGACTACCACGCTCGGTCAAACTACAGTCGGCACCACCCCTAACCCTATGTCGCCCATGCCCGATGAACGACTGCCCAAGCGTCACGCCAACCGCAGCTCGGTCGCAAATCTTGAGAGCATGTGGAACGTGCAGCTGCAGACGTTGTGGAAGACCGTCGAAGGATCGCAAAAGTTCTTGCCGGTGGTGCCGGGCCGGCACATTGTGATGGAGAGTGGACACTGGGTCGAACTGGATTCGGCAACATGGAAGCCGCGGCGCCCGGTGCACATTGTGCTGCTGAACGATCACCTGCTGGTGGCGGCCAAGAAACGCAAGCGCGTGGATCAGAGCAGCCATCGTGGTCCCGTGCCTACGAAGTTGGTGGCAGAGGAATGTTGGCCCCTTCAGGATGTGGATATGATCGATCTCAGGGCCAATCTCGGCGCGGGGGTTGCGCGCGAGGATGCTGAAGACCGGGGCATCACGAACGCCATCAACGTGCGTGTCGGAGGCAAACCTTTCACCTACCGGCATGACAAGCGGGACAGCTCAGCCAAGAGTGACCTACTGGCCACCTTTCGAAAGACGGTCGAGGATCTCCGACGCAACCTCCGGTCGGACACCGAGGCCGCCGGCAAAGCTGTCCCTGAGGTAATAGGCTATCGCCACGCCTCGTACTCTCCGCAGCCGGATCGGCCGGTCAGTATGGACGGTGGACGAGACAAGCCTGAGGTGCGCATTGATGTAGACGGCAAGCAACAGAACCTGCGGTGGGTGGAGGGTCAGATCGACGAGCTGGACATTGATATTGCTCTGCAGCGGTTCGAGGATGCTGTGGGCCACATCGAGCGGTTGCGCAAACTTGCCCGAGGGTTAAAGGGCAATGCGGTCGCGCAGGACGTGATCACAACCAAGGTGGATGAGCGTGCGGCCGCCCTGGCCGAGGTATTGCTGCGTGCTCTGGTGGACACTCCCTCCTTCCCTCAAGCGACCAAGACCAAGTCGACGTGGCTGATGCGCTTGGGCTTCGAGGACCAAGCTAGGGAGGCTTATCTTAAGGCGCGAACTGATGTCATATCCAAGCGGATCAGGTGGGTTTCTTCTGCTCCCATCGTAATGAGCTGAACTGACGTGCTACAGAGCCTGTGTCTTCGAGGGCGACCTCCCGATGTATATCTTCCAGATTTCCTACGTCTACTTCACCTTGATCAAAAACACCATCAGCATTTATCAGCAATGCTTCCCGCCGGCCATGTCCAGTGCCAGCATCCGCTGGGCCAAGCATCACCTCGACGGCTTCAATGCGCTCCTCACGCGGCAGCTGAGCAGTGTGCAGCGGGGGACCACCGTGTACCAGAAATGTCTTGATATCGTGCACGAGTATGCCAGCCTGCTGACCGAGGTTGGAGTCGACTTCACCGACCTGGTCGCCAAGGGGCTGGAGGTGGAGGATTCAGCCGAACGGCCGCAGATGACGCGCTCGGAGTCGTTGATCTCAGGACTGGCTGAAGCTGCGGCGGCCGCGTCGCCAGTCATTTGAAATAGGGGATGTCTGATCTGTAGCGTTTTTGTTACTCTGCGCACGCTTGTCTATATTTTTATTTTTACTACCCAGCCTCGGGAGGCTCGTTATGTACAATTCAGCTCTGTGCAAGCTTGTTGCTTTGAGATGCAACTTTAGATGCATACTATTATTATATGTCGGCCCAGATCTGCTTCATCCCTTAATTTATACCGGACACTATGCGCTCTACACCTTACTGAATGACCACGTTGAGTGGCGGGATTGTCTTCACCCGGGCCGACTTCGGCCAGGGGAATAAGCCCGAGTCTTACCCTTATCGGAGTGGAGACTGTGTCCTCAGGCACCGATCTGCCGTCACTGTCAGCCATATATACCCACCTGCAGTCCTGTGCTGTCTATTCAATTCAAGGTCACAAAACAGAGTTCGGGTCAAGACTCTACATGGTATGAGCTGAGAAGCTACCGATCAGCCACCGTAGTGAATCTCAGCATTTTCCGTGCGACACTTTTTTCTCTCTATGAGAAGCGCAGTACGTAAGAGGAAAACACGCCCGGCTGCCGCCCGAAGCCGAGGAGGCCATCGGCGTCCAGAAGTAGTGCCGAGCGAGGGATGCAAGCCCCCCGAAGTGGCATGCAGTTGGCCAATCCATAACGAGCAATGGAGGGAACAAGCGGGGAAGCAGTGGCTGCGTCGCTGATTCTTCAGTTTTTTTCTGTCTTTCTTTCTCTCTCTGCCATACACACGCGCGCGCTTGTTTTGGTTCTAGACACTCCATCTTCTTCGTCTTTCCTCACTCCCCTTCGTTGCCCGTTGCCACGATGGGTCTCACCGCAGAGGTAGTACAGGACCAGCCATCCTCATCGCAGTCGAGGTAAGATACAGACAGACATATAATCCCTCCTCCGCGGACAACGCACCTATCCGGCTCACATCCTTGAATGATAAAGCTCTTCCGCACTGGCAGCGCTGCCGGAGCTGCCCCTCTTCTGCGCGGCCAAGGAGCATGCCCAGACTCGCCCCGACCACATCGCCGTCGACGATGCCACCAAGGGCCAACAGTTCACCTACCGCCAGCTGCTGGCCGATACGGCCGCATTGAAGCAGCATCTGCTGGAGACCCTCGCGCTCACGGAGACAGGGGATCTGGCGGAGCGTCGGATCGCGTTCCTGGTGCCCAATGGATATGATTACGTTGTGACACAATGGGCCGTCTGGGCGGCGGGGGGTGTGTGCGTGCCACTTTGTAGGTTCTTGTCCGGCGGTAGATGAACTAGACTTGTGGGTTGGGACTGCTAACCATTTTTGCGAAAAGGTACCTCCCACCCCGTGAAAGAGCTCCTGTACACGATCGGGGACTCGGACCCCTCATTGATCATTCTGCATCCCACCTTTGCCGGAACCCAAGACGCATTGCTGCAGGGGCTCAGCAGCAGTAGCAGCACGATCCCGTTCATGCACCTCACCCCATTCCAACAAAAACCGGAACCCGAGCTCGCCTCGCTCGCCATGCCCGCCTTCTTCCCTCTCCAGCCCGCACAATGGGCGCTCACCCGCCGGGCGTTGATGATCTACACCTCCGGCACGACCGCCAACCCGAAGGGTTGCGTGACCACGCACAAGAACATCACGTTCCAGGCGCGCAGCCTGGTGGAGGCGTGGCAGTACACGCCGGCGGACCGGCTCATCCACGTGCTGCCGCTGCATCACGTGCACGGGATCATCAACGGGCTGGCGGCGTCGCTGCTGGCGGGCGTGACGGTGGAGATGCACCCCAAGTTCGACCCGGCGACAATCTGGCGGCGGTGGGCCGAGGGCGGGTCGACGATGTTTTTCGCCGTGCCGACCATCTACTCGCGGCTGGTGGACGACTTCGAGGCCCGCCTGCGCGGCACCCCGCAGGAGGCGGCGGCGCGCGCGGGCGCCCAGGCCCTGCGGCTGGTGGTCAGCGGGTCCGCGGCGCTGCCGACGCCCATCAAGAAGAAGTTCGCCGCGTGCACGGGCGGCCAGGTGCTGCTCGAGCGCTACGGCATGACGGAGATCGGTATGGGCATCAGCTGCGGCTTGCCGGTCGAGCAGCGCATCGACGGCAGCGTCGGCTGGCCCCTGCCCGGGGTGCGGGCGCGGCTGACGGAGAAGGAGACCGGGCGGGTCATTGAGGGGGTGGATGAGGATGGGATGATCGAGATCAGCGGTGATAATGTGTTCCGCGAGTACTGGCGGCGGCCCGAGGCGACCGCCAAGGAGTTCACCGAGGACGGGTGGTTCAAGACGGGCGATGTCGCCCGGCGCGACGCGCAGGGCGCGTACTACATCCAGGGCCGGGCATCGGTGGATCTGATCAAGTCCGGCGGGTACAAGATCTCGGCGCTGGAGGTGGAGCGGAAGATGCTGGGACTGGACGCGATTCAGGAAGTGGCTGTCGTGGGGCTGGCCGACGAGGAATGGGGCCAGCTGGTGGCGGCGGTGGTGAAGCAACGAGCCGGGGTGAGCTTTCCTGACTAGCATGGACCTATCCAGAAGTACAAGACCACTGACATCAATACACAGACGGAGCCGCTGGAACTGGGCAGTCTGCGCGCGCAGCTCAAGCAGGAGATGGCGGCGTACAAGGTGCCGACGGTGCTGAAGCTGGTGGATGCGATTGAGCGCAATGCCATGGGCAAGGTGAACAAGAAGACGATAGTGAAGAAGTATTGGCCGGAGTTGGCTGGGTGATTGTATAGACTGCAAAATAGAGTGAAAGCATTGTGCGGTTGGCTGTGCACAAATAAAGATACCTTGACCAGGGATGATGTTCTTTTCCGGGTTCCTTCGACAGCCGTCAGTTTGATAGCATCGAGTACAATCTGCATCAAAGATAAACTCAAAAGTTATCTGTTCTCCAATGACAGCCTTCAGCCGCGCGATGCAGCCCGACAAGAATCTCTTCCATCATTCAATGGCTATTTCTGGCAGTGCACTGAACCAGGGTCAGCCAATATCCACAAAATGCCTTTGCCTGGTTGCGCATCCTTCCACCCAAGAACTACTGCCCCTCATGCGTATACGCCAATGCAGATATACCTGAAGAAGAGGCTATTCATCCTCCCTCTTACCCTCCTTACGAGTACACAACTATTCAAATCAATTTCAAAAGAAAAAACTAACTTCATCCATTTCCATTAATGACCTTCAATTCCAAAAACAAAGACACGATTACAGCTTACTCACCCCATTCACAAGAAAAAGAAAGGGAGCCGAGCTAATCAATCAATCAATCAATTCACCCCCGTCGCCGCCCTCTCCAAAGCCTCCCCCTCCCCTTGCCCATCCTCGCAAGCCTCCAACAAACCCAAATCCACCCACTCATTCACCTTCTCCTTCGACCCAACCTGCCCCTCAACCCATTTCTCCCACGCCCCCTCCCCAAAAAGCCCATACGGCTTTTCTGCTGCCCAGGGAATCGCCAACAACGCCAAGAACCTCAATTCGAGTTCCAGATGCACGAGCATCGCCCCCTCACCATCACCTTCCCTATCATGGGGCTGCCACAGGCAAATCGGACATGTATCCGGAAACCCCGTATGCGGAACCCTCCCCGCCTTTTTGGGGGGGGTTGCAGCTCCAGCTACCGCCCCAGCCCCAGCCCCAGCCCCAGCCCCAGCGGCATCCTTTGTGGTCGACGCAGCATCGAAGAAGGAATCATACTCCGCGCCGATATTCCGGCCCGTCGCGAGGTGCTTCACCCAGCCGTGCACCGTGACGAACCCCTCGGCTTCTTGGGATTCGCAGGCCGGGTGGAGACAGGTGAGGTGGCGGAGGTCGGCGGTGAGGTGGCTGCGCCAGGAGGATCTGTCTTCGAGCAAGGCGGTGGGGACCGGGGTGAGGCAGTAGGGGCATTGGAAGGTTGCTGTTTTTGATTCTTGTGAATTGGTGGTGGAGGGCGGCGGCTGCGTCCAGTACCCGTGAATCACGGCGTCGGCGTGCGGCGGCGCGGGGAAGTTCACGCCGCGCTCCTGGAAGGCGTGGAGCTGGTCGAGGGTGTACACGTCCGAGGAGTGCTGTTGGAGCGCGAGGATGTAGTGTCTTCGTTTGATGTTGAGGCGGATGAGGCGGTGATGGAGCGGGGTGAGTGTGAACTCTTTGCGTGGATCTTGGGGATCACGAACAGTATCACGAACGGTGCTCTGCCGCTGCTGCTGCTGCCGCCGCCGCCTCGCAAACCACGCCTCCAACTGCGCCGCAAACCCCCGGTATCCCTCCGCGTGGAACCGCTTGTCCGCGATCTGCTGCCCCAGCGGCGGGGGGAGTTTCTCGTCCTCGAGCTCGTCGGTGATGACCGCCCCCAGGTCCTGCAGCCACCACCGCGCGGTGTCGAACGTCCGCCGGATCTGGTCGCGGAGGTGCCAGCGCGCGGTCTCGACGTCCTGGGAGGTCTGGATGGCGGAGAGGACGTCGGCGGTAGGGAGCAGGGTGGAGGTGTTCAGGGATTGTGTGGCGGCCGCGGCGGAGGCGTCCAGCGCGGCCAGCTTCCCGCCGAGATCGAGGAGCTGGAGGGCGGCCCGGCGCAGGTGGCCGATGTGCAGGGTGTAGGTCGATGATGGGTCCTCGCAGGAGTTGCGGGCCAGTTCTTCGAGGTGCAGGTAGCCTCGGCGGTCGTAGACCAGCTCCCGGAAGGTTTGGTAGAGGTCCTGCGCGGTGGAGTGGTAGTCTGTCAGACCGCTGTTCTGCGTTAGCTGGTGGAGGTACTGGCACATCCAGGCGGAGATGAGGAGCGTACTCATTTTGCTGTTTCTAGGATGGTGGAATTAGATTGCAGTTGCAGTTGCAGTTGCAGTGTGCGGACTGTACGGTAGGTGATGCGCGTTGTATTCTGAGTCTGTTTACCGACAGGTGATGCAGATGATATTTACTATGAAACTGGAAGACAGGAACCTGGTATTTATACAGCAGCGAACTACATCTAATCTGAGGCTGTACATGTCCAGCAAAGAACATATCCCCTTCGGTCCTTGAACAAAGACCCAAGCCCATTGACTCCCCCCAAGCCCTTATTCTATACAAGTGCAACAAAAGATTCAAGGCAATTTCCTCCTGGTAACAACCAACAACAACCTGAAAGCACATCCCAGCAGATCGGAGAAGTCCTTACCCGTGATGATGGCATGTTAGCTGAGTGATGCAGTAGCAGCAGGAGCAGCAGTAAACCCACGCCCCACCACGACCACCAACCCAACCACCAAACCAACTACAAAAGCCAACGTGCGGCAAGCAACGCACGATACAACCTGAAGCAAGTATAGTACTCCTGACCCTGGAAAGTAAAAGATACTAAAAACCAGGGTACAGATCGGCGCCTCCCGTGCCTCCTCCCCGCCACATGCCGTTATCTATCCAAGTGATTGGGTGTGAGTCCCCGGCGCCCGGGATCTCCGTCGGAAGTCCCTGAAGAAAACATACCCCGTCGAACCCTAATCAACCAGTGGTCTGCGTTGCTTGGCCCATCCCCTGAAGATAATCTCGACTGCACTGCAATGCAACTGCAGCTGCAAAGGCACCGATGTTACCTCACTCGGAGCTTCATGCATTAGACTTGATTGACATGTCGGGGATCGGAGGAGTCCGTTGACGCTGTCTGGGTACTAGATAGACTTCCAGGGGGAAGAGATAAATAGGCCTGGTTATCTCGCCTCAGATCAGTCCAACCCAACCTACCCAGCACAAACCACCTCAGTCCATCCCCAGCCCTATCCACTACAAAAAACCGAAGCTACCAAAATGTCCGCTATCAAGGTAAGCCGCCATCCCCCTACCCCCCAAACCCCCAACTAATCCCTGGGAACAAAGACAATCCTCCTCCCCCTCCTCCTCACCACCTCGCTGGTCCTGGCCGCCCCCGCCCCCGAGCCCAAGGCCGAAGAATCCTGCGCCTACACCTGCGGCAGCACCTGCTACTGGGCGAGCGACGTCAGCGCGGCCCAAGCGAAAGGGTGGTCGCTGCACGAGTCCGGCGACACCATCGACGACTACCCGCACGTCTACCGCGACGACGAGGGGTTCGCGTTCGGCGTGTCCGGCACCTACTACGAGTACCCGATCCTGAGCAGCTTCAAGGTCTACACGGGGGGATCGCCGGGGGCGGATCGCGTCATTTTCAACTCCAATGATCAGTTGGCCGGGGTGATTACCCACACCGGAGCGAGTGATTATGACGGGTTTGTGGAGTGTTCTTAGTTTTTTTTGATCGGGGATGGGAGGTGGATGGGGGGTATGGGGGGATTGATTCGGATTGGAGGAGGGTCATTAGGGCTGGCTATCGCGGGAAACTGTGTGTACTGCGACTGTTCCTTTTGATAATAGCAGCCTCGAAAGGGAAGCCTGATGTCTCACTGCAGAAATCAATCGAATTAAGAGTCAAGATGACTTAATGGGTAGCTACATGCTGATATATATACTATGGTACGGAATCTATGCACCCGGACCAACCGCATCGACATCCCTTCTAGTCTGATCTACAGCAAGGATACGGAGTACCTTACCGACATTCTTAGTGTTATCCTGCAGTTGTCCCGCACCTACAACCTTTTACAGTGGGGTGTATGGCCAGCTGCTGCACGCGAAAAAAAAAAAAAAAAAAAAAAAAAAAAAAAAGCAATTCCAGCGATCGATGGATCGATGGCGCCAGGATTGGGACCGATAACCAGCAATTGCTCGCGGGTACTCACAGTGTTTCTTTTCCTGTGCCGCTCAAGGTCGGTACGGTATGTATATGGTCCCCCCAAGTTGGAATGGTAGAATCTCACCGCACGTATGCAGATATTGATGTACGGGTACCTAGTGGTCCTGAAGGGTACCGTGGCAGCTGGATGGCCTATCGAGATGAACAAAACCGAGCACAGGTGATGATACATACTGTAACTTATGTGGCGCGCTTCTCCTGAATCCTTCGTCTCCTTCCCGCTCATGCCCTACGCCTTTCCCAGTCGGCATGCAAAGAGTCATGGCTCTGAGGGGGGCTGATCCGTTGACTTGTCCCTACTATCTACGGGGGAGCAAAGTTTTTTTTTTTTTTTTTTTTTTTTTTTTGATGGCCTCAGCCTGTTAAGCAAACCCCTACTTGCAGCTCTTGGAACCATTTGATTTCGTCCCATTGAGGTGCCGTTCGGTTCGGTGGAGTAGCTCTATTGCGGGCGAGGGGATCGGACAGCCGTTTCGCCATTCGGCCTTCAAGCTCCACAGCCGAAGTGGTAGGAAGACCGTGTCTACTCTCCTCTCCTGGGATTCCTGCACAGCACCTGACAAATACTCGATGTGCTTCCACCGAGGCGATCATGAGTTAGTTCGCTAAATCGCCATCCCCTCTCTTCTCTGGGCACTGCTTCGCAGGCCGGATCGGATACTGACGGACCCAACCAATAAATCTCACAACTGCTCAGTGCAGCGACCAACATGATCTGCCGCATGTCGCAGGACTGGGAAATTGGTACTCCAATAAAGCTCGTGGGCCAGGCAGCCGAGCTACTCGAATCAGAACTATACGCCACGCAGTATCGCCGGGTCAAACCGTGGCCCTACTACAATCCCTGCTCTCTCATCCACACATACCACCGGTTCACAAGCAGAGAGATCAATTGTTACTTCTTCCTTGTTCCATCGATCGACATGCATCTTAACTGTGACCCCTTCCGACTTCACACGCAGTCCCCGAGGGTTGCCGTCTCCCAAGCCGGATGTCTTTATCCAGAGCTGTTTTCGAGAAATGGGGCGAGAATCACCTGAGTCTTTGGGGTACGAACGATGTAGAATGGGCCAGAGAGAAGAATAAGAGGGGAGAGGAGGTTGGCGGAAAGTGGGCTCATTCTCTGGGAAGGACGGAAAGACAAACGGCAACTTCTCAATAGCTATCTATGTGACCCGACGACCCAGGCTCATGTACACCGACAGTTGGCACAGTACATAGTCATGAAACAAATCGCCTACCGCCACTTGTTATCCCAACCACCCTGTTCCACGGCAAAGGCGATCGCCAACTCGCTGAAGCGAGCCATGTGCTGTTCCGCAAATGTGAGTAATGAGCACGACCAAGACCGGGAAACCACTCACGTCAATGGAGAAATACCCCGTCTCATCGTCCACGTCCATCGTATCGTTGACGCCATGGACGTACGGATCGAAGTTGCCCGGCATTCTCCCGCCGGCCAGGGGGTTGCCCTCCGACGCAAAGGCCGACGGGTAGTTGAGCTGCGTGAAGGACATGTAGTCCGACCCGGCACCGCTATCCCACAACGCATCACAATTAGAACTGTAGGACAAAATGGAACCGAAGGAAAAATACGTACGCGCCCAGTTCATACACCTCCGTCGGAATCGAGATATACTCGCGACTCAGATTGACCGTCCAGTTCGTCAGCGCCGCGTCCGCCTCCGTCGCGATGAACCCGATCTCCTCGGTCGAATTGTGCGCGATGAACGCCGTCATGTCCTGCCACAGCGTGAGTCCCACGGGATGATGATGCAGATAACGGGGGCAAAAGGCAACGTACAAACTCCAACATCGCCCCGATCCGCGCCCCTTCCTCCTTCTTGTACCGCGCAACGGCCTGGCTCCCCAAGAGTCCCCCCTCCTCGGCCGCGTACCAGTGGAACTCCACGGGTCCGTTCTTGGGCGTGTATCCGCTCGCAGCCAGCACGCGGAACGCCTCGAGGATGCTGACGGTGCCCGAGCAGTCGTCGTCGGCGCCGGGCGCGGGCAGCAGCGGGAACAGGTAGTTGGCCGAGTCTTGGTGGGCGCCGATGATGGTCAGCGGGAGTGAGAAGTTGCGGACCTTGGGCTCGAAGCGCGCGATGATCGAGGACTGGGGGAAGGCGTGGGTGAAGTACTCCAGGGAGATGTGGGTGCGGAAGGGGGATTCGTCGATGATCTTGAGCGCGTTAGTTTCGTCCCGATTGCCCGAGTCCTGTGGCAAGGGTACGGACCTTGGCGATGTGCTGGTAGAGCCACTGCGAGCTCATCTCGCCATGGATGCCCCCGTAGTACCGGTTGTAGTAGCTGGTCATGTGCCGCAGCACGTATTCCATGTGCGCCTTCTCGACCTGATCAAACAGGGGGCGGACGTAGCGCTGGTGCGTCAAGTCCGGCAGGTCTGGTAACCCCGCAAAAATTAACATTGGAACCCCCGGATGGAAGAAATGTATATGTACGCACTCGCCGAACCTGCAAGGGCATGCACCTGCTCCGCGTAGAAATCCTCATGCTCCGTGATGTCCATGAACTTCTTCCCCTTCTGCCGCAGCAGCAGCTTGTCGCCCTCGGTCATCCACTGCGGCTGGGGCTCTCCGCGGACGTGCAGCAGCCGGGGCTGGGCGAGGAAGTCGGCGCTATCGGGGCTCAGCGCCAGAAAGGCGGCGACCGGGTCGTCGGGGTGCTCGCGGAGGGCGGCGTGGACGCGGTCTTCGTCGAGGACGAAAATGGCGTCGTCATGGCTGTAAGGGGCTTGGTTGGGGGATTCGAGGATCTGCTGGCTGCTGCTGCTGAAAGAGCTGGACGCGCCGAGTGCGGACTGAGCGCTGCTCAGGAGCAGCGGGAGGGTCAATAGAGTGCTGCGCATGGTGGAAATGGGGTGGTGTGGTGGAGTTGGGGAGTTGGAGAGGGATAAGCTGACGGGAGGGATGGAGTGGGTGCGATAAGAGGTATTTGTAATTCTGTACGGAGTACCGTACGCATTCGTAGCCCGAGAAATCGGACCTCGGAGCTGCGGCACGGACCCCAAATCGCGGATAAGATAAGCCTTGGTTGCGCTGGAATCCTGCCGATTGGCCGGGGGGTGGTAACCATTCTCCAGGCAGCACTCCTCCTACCAGTAAGACTATTCAGGCTGATTGAAGAACAATCCCAGGACTGCAGCCCTATATGAATTCTTCATCAAGAGCTGAAACTTGCCAACTAAAATCACAATCTCACATACACTATCCTGGGAGATTGAAGTATTGTTCAATCCAAGGATCAACAGCCCGCCCTTCGCCATCGAAGGGTCTTTCAAGTGCCTATCGGCAAGTTTATGGCTGAAAGCTCAACGAGACATGTGCTCGAAGCAAGGAAAATCTATCCCCGGGCACCGAGATCCTTGACATGACTACACATACACACACTAGCATTACCAAGTAAACCCCAACCGGTCCGCGACGGGCAACAGCCCCACACACCAAGCGTCGACCTCGGTGGCAGCGACATCAACCTTATGGGACGAACCATTGTACCGCAAGTCAACCACAGTGGGCTGATCATGCGGTTCGGAGGGGTTGAAATCAGGCCCGGCGACGTGATGCTTGGCAAACCACGCCCATAACTCTTGCATGTAGGCAGTCATGGCTAGCGTGTCCGCGGGCGTGTCGGGCAGATGCGTGCCAAAGATGACGGGGATCTCCGCCCCGTGCACCGCCCCGTGATTGGGGATGATTGTCCCGGGGGCCGCCGCCTCCGTTGACCACCGATACCGCCAGTCACCGGACCTGCGTTTGTTGTTGCTGCTGCTGCTGCTGCTGCTGCTGGCGGTAGTCACGTTGCAAGCCCGACTAGTCGGACAAGTAAAGACGACATCGCTAGCGAGACGAACGAGCGGGCCGTATTTATTCTTCGACAGCGACGAGGAAGAGGAGAAGAGGAGCTTCGCTGCTGCCTCGTCCGCCTGTTTCCGTATCTCCTCGGCTGTTGTCACGAACGGGGGATCGTGCCGCAGCCCGGTACTGATTAGTCGGTCGTGCACGCGATGCCAGGTGGTGTGCACCGGGTCCGTGGCGTTGGAGGACAGGGCGTACACCATGCCGCTGAGCTCGTCGCGCGTGGAGCCCAGCAGCAGCGGCACGTCCGCCAGCCCCGGCCCGTTCAGGATGTGGTCCGTTACGTTGGTGATGCACGTGTGGTGGTCCTCGACGGGGGCGAAGTCGAGTTCGGCTTGCGCGGCGTAGTCGCGTAGCTCGACTGCGTCGACGCGGCCGAGGCAGGCGAGGACCTCCTCGTCTTTCTCTCTGGCTCTTACATCCTTGCTGGGACGGCGATGATCGTGATCAGATCGGGAATCGGATTGGGATTGGGGATCGGGGATACCGGTGCAGTTGAAGTGCTCCTCTGGATGTTCTTGGCCGAGTTGGGCGGAGGGCGATGTGCTCCGAATGCAAACATTCCGTTTCCCAGCGTCTCATTCCGCCCGACGCAGCGCTACATGTGCGATAAGCGTCATGTGCATACAAAACACTGTCAAAATCATACCACATTCATCTGGTCAACTGCTTTGCACTCATGACAGAACAACAAACAGGGATCCCCTGCCTAAGTCGAGTTCTACTTTTAACATTCACTTTCAGCTTGAAGTAAACTCTTTTTCATCAAATTCACCACATCACTCGAAGTATAGCATCGTCGTCGAGGACGCTCAGTACTTGGACTATTACTATACTCTTCTCTAGATGTTCAATATATCAAGTAATCATTAACTCTCAACGGCCTGGTTCTCTCACTATATCAGGTAGTAAATGCCCTCCTCCTCCTTAACAGAAAAGTTGAGGATGGAGTGGGTGTGATACGAGGTATTTGTAGCTCCAGGAATCGGACCCGCGGCACAGACCCGAATCACGGATAAGATAAGCCTTGGTTGCACTGGAATCCTGCCGATTGGTTGGCGGGTGGTCTTTTCCAGGCGGCACTCGTCCTACCTCTGATACGAGTAAGATGCACACGATAGGCTTACTATGGCGAATATGAACCCCGGCGTGTTGACAGAAGCTAGCTCACTGGCATACACACTGAGTATTAACAACGTCTGTTCTCCCACTTCAGTTGCTCTTCCAGTGGAGATGCAGATCTTGCTTCTCAAGCACCCCACCCGTTGACCCAACGCGGTGGAAAACGGGCCCTTGGTCCCTTGGCGCAAGAACAAGATCTATGCCTACATCCAGCATTTAGCACAAGACCAGCTTTGGACTTCAGTGGTTGCAGTATGAAATTCACGCTCAACCACTCTTTGACCGGATCAGGCAGACCCGTATAGCTACCTAGTAGTGCCCCAGTCAGGGATGGTGGGTTACACAAGCTTAGGCGGTGAACCAGAGTCGTTGAAACAACTTGCCAACCTACCAACGTTCTGTTCCATTCACTGAGACGTCTCCCTTCCAACTATGCCATTTTGCCTTCCTTATTATCGGGACACCAGTGAGTTGCCAGGGCCTCTTCCTGACCAGAACGAGATTGTACAAGCAACATGCACCCTCCCCAAGGGATCCGATTATGGTGGGCGCCTGGTCGTAATCCGAGACACCTTTGTCGTGAAATACGGCCCACTTGTGACCGAAAATGAGGGGTATGCTCTGCTCTTTGTTGAAGAACGACTCAACATTGCAGCACCACGCCTGTATGCCATGTACCGCGATCAGGATACCCTGTATCTCATCATGGAATTCATTCCCAGCATCTCTCTAGGGCTGGCGTGGCCTTCGCTCACGGAGGCGGACAAACATTCGATTGCGGGACAATTACGATGCATCTTCGATCGAATGCGGGCGCTGCCATCGCCCGGGTTCTACGGCAGTGTCAACCAGGGACCCGTCCCCCATCGGTATTTCTTCTCTCGAGAGAAAGACCCTACGGTCACTGGTCCTTTTCAGACGGAAGAAGAATTCGGAAGCGCCATCGCGCTTCGCTCCAAAAAGATGTGGAGCGAATCCAACAGTCCCAGCGTTCTCTCCGACTATCTGGCTCGCTACCTCTCATCAGCACTTCGCGATCATCCGCCCGTGTTCACCCACGGAGATCTCTACCGAGAGAATGTTCTTGTCCGGAAGGCCGTGAGTCCCGTCACCAAGGAAGAAGAGTACGAAGTAGCGGCTCTGGTGGACTGGGAAATGGCGGGGTGGTATCCTTCGTACTGGGAGTACGCTCATATCTTCCCCCTGTTGCAGTGGACCGATGACTGGCCGGCGTATGTCGAGAAGATTCTCGATCCCTTGCCGCTGGAGGGCGCCATGATGTGGGTTGTCTTTCGAGATATGGAGTTCTAACTTGATGGGAGGGACTACCATGTTGATACTGAAAGGTTTGATAAGTGATTTGACTCAGTGAGGTTCTGACTTAGTGCTTGATAGTTGATCCTTTACATGGCACAATATTCTCTATTCTTTCCAGTTACGCCCCACCCCCAATCAGACAAGCTTCATGAATGACGCGTGTCCACGTGCCTCGCGCATTGACATTTTTGTGGCTTATATGTAGTGTAACCCTGTGGCAGTTTAATTCATCTACTTGTGTACACCTCGGCCTGGCAACCCCATCAACCAACTCATTATATTGACCTATGTACATTGCCTTTGCACATGGCATAATTGATCAATTCTGGAGAAGTATACTGAAAAAAGGAAGTCAGAAAACCAAAATCATGCTCAATCTTTCCAGGCCCGATGCACTACTACTTAGATATAAGTGTATAATCTCCCCCTCTCGGCCGAATGGTCGCCATAGTGGACCCTGGATTGCTCATTTCCCAGCTCGATGCTTGGATCTCCCATCCCCGCCCACAATATCCTCCGCCAAGCACAACTTCCCAGTTTCTCTTCTGCAACCACCCCCCTTCAAGCAACCCCTAATATATCCCCCTCCCTCCTCGCCGCGCAGAATCGAGCCTCCAATAGCGGGGCGGATACGCAATCACGCCAACTGTGCCAGCGATGGTGCAGAGGCATACATCATGTATGCACCAGGGTATATCATCACCCCACACCGGGGTGCATCTGTCCTCAGTGAACCGGGGTTCCAGACTGCTTCCTCAGAGACACCACAATCTGCACCATGACAGAGCTCATTGAGGAGAAGAACGTGGACGTCCACCCCACCACGCAGCCCCAAGCCACTGAGAACCCCAGCAGCGGCAACAGCAGCGACAGCAGCATCGCCGAACATGCAGGCGTCAACGAAAAGGCGCTGCTCCGCAAACTGGATTACCGACTTCTGCCCCCGTTGACAATCTTGTACCTGCTGTCGTTTCTCGATCGGAGCAATGGTATTACCTGACGCTGCATGCCTTGTGGAGAATGGCTAATGGTCTGATGCGGAATAGTGGGAAATGCCCGGCTGGAAGGCATGGGCACCGATCTCGACATGTGTAGGCTACCTAACCCTCTTCAATTGGCTCCTACTCAAACCCTAGGGCTGCGTTACTGACCTCGCGCAGCAGGAGACCAGTACCTCACCGGCCTGACGCTCTACTTCATCGGCTACGTGCTGTTCGAGGTGCCGTGTAACATCATCCTGAAGAAGACCACCCCGCGGACCTGGCTGCCGACGCTCACGCTGGTCTGGGGCGTTGTCGCGACGCTCTGCGGCGTGGTGCAGAACTACGCGGGGTTTCTGGTGTCGCGATTGGGTAGGCACTGCCTCTGTTGACAGACCTAACAACCGATCCCCATCATGCTAATACAACTCCCATCCAGCCCTCGGAATCGCCGAAAGCGGCCTCTTTCCCGGCGTAGTCTTCTATCTGAGCATGTGGTACAAGCGCAACGAGCAACACTACCGGGTCGCGCTGTTCTTCAGCGCCGCCTCGCTGGCGGGCGCCTTCGGGGGGATTCTCGCCTGGGTAGGTCATCACCACCACCTTCCCTGCACCCATATGCCGCCCAGAATTTAATCGAAACCAGGGAATCGCCCACATGCGCGGCGTAGGAGGCTACAACGGCTGGCGATGGATCTTCATCCTCGTGCGCACACCCCCCTTTTTGCCCCCCCTTCAACTCTAACCCACCCCTAATAACTGTCCAGGAAGGCCTCCTCACCATCCTAACGTCCCTGGCCGCCTACTTCTGGGTCTTCAACTACCCGTCGAGTGCCGAGTTCCTCACCGACCAGGAACGGAGCTACATCCAGCACCGGCTCAAGCACGACAGCGATGCCACGCGCCACGAGACCTTCAACTGGAACGCCGTGGGCCACGCCTTCCGCGACCCGAAAGTGTGGTTATACGGACTCGCCTTCCACACCTTGTCGCTGCCGCTGTACACGCTGTCTTTGTTTATGGTAGTCCGCCCCTTAAACCTTTCCTCCCGCTCATCCCTCACTCACCCCAACCCTGACATCACTTCTCACTAACACCCGCAAAAGCCAACCATAATCCAAACCCTAGGGTACACCGCCGCGCAGGCCCAACTCCTGACCGTCCCGCCCTACGCCGTCGCCTTCTGCTTGACAGTCACAACCGCCATCGTCAGCGAGCGCACGCGCCGCCGCGCCCCCTTCATTCTGGGGAGCACAGCCCTCGCGTGCCTGGGCTACATCCTCCTGCTGACAGACCCCCGCCCCGGCGTGTCCTACGTGGGGACCATCTTCGCCGCGGCGGGCATCTACCCGGCCGTGGCGATCGTGTTGGCCTGGCCGGCTAATAATGTCTCGGGCCAGACGAAGCGCGCCATCGCGAACGCGCTGCAGATCTCCATCGGAAACCTCGGGGCCGTGCTGGGCACGCAGCTGTATCGGACGGAGACGAAACCGAGGTATTTTTTGGGGCATGGGTTTGCGCTCGGGTATCTGGTGGGGAATTTGGGGGTGGTCGCGGGGTTGTGGTGGGTTTTGAGGCGGGAGAATTTGCGGAAGGAGGGGGTGAGGGGGCAGGGCGCCAGTGGTGGAGGTGGAGGTGGGGGTACAGATGGGTTCGAGGGGGAGGAGTTTCGCGGGGATGAGGATCCGAGGTGGGTGTTTCAGACTTGAGTTTCTACGGGTATGGTTCGGGTCATGTTGTGGGGGGTGGAGGTGGAGGTGTGTATATAGGTTTGACACATATGTACGGAGACTGTGTTTACGTTTGTAGGGCAATGTGCGCGGGATACCCTAAACACCACCACCACCACCACCACCACCACCACCACCCTGCATCTTCAATTTCCTGGAACGACATCAACCACCCGCCCCCGCTCCAGCACAACCACCCTGTCATAATCCCTGATACTCTCCACCCGATGCGCCACCGCCAGCACCGAGCACGACCGGAACGGCTCTTCCCGTAATAGCGCCTGCACCCGCGCCTCCGTCTCCGGATCCACATGACTCGTCGCTTCATCCAACAACAGAACCTTGGCACCGCCGCGCTGCAGCTGGAGCATCGCCCGGGCGATCCCGAGCAACTGCGTCTGGCCGCGGGAGAGCGTGTCGGCGCCGAGCTCGGCGTCCAAGCCCCCGCTGCGTTCGGCGAGCACGCCGTGCCAGAGGCCCACGCGGTCCAGGGCGGCGATGATCTCTGCATCGGGATGGCTGTTGCCGGGGGTGGGGTCGGCGTTGAGCCGGACGGTGCATCCGGCTAGAATGAGGGGGTCTTGGGCGATGGTAACGAGGCGTTCGCGGACGGTCTCGCGCGAGACGCTGGTTAAATCGACGTCGTCGATTAGGATTGAGCCGCTCGTTAGGTCGAGCATGCCGAGGATTGTGCCGAGGAGGGAGGATTTGCCGCTGTTGGTCAAGGGGCATGTGAGAAATGGACACGGTGGACTCGATAGCCGGATGAGGTGGAGAGTGAAAGCGAAAGAACCAACCTGCCGGTGCGACCACAGATCCCGATCTTTTGTCCGGGTCGCACTTTGAAAGATACGTCTTTTAGGATGGGAGCTGTGGGGCTGAAGGGTGCTGATCAGTGACTATCTCCATAATCTGGGTTGGGGGGTTGGCTTGCGTACTTGTACTGCGCTGTTACCGCTTTGAACTCGATCGCGCCGCGGTCGGGCCAGGAAGCAGGAACGCTGTCGTTCTTAAGGGTTTCTTCGGGCTGAGTATCCCGTTCAAAATCTTTGGTGCGGGCAATAGAACCAAGGGAGATCTCGAGCTGCGTCCACCCTGTGATCAGAGACGAGAGGCTCTGGTTGAAAGCTTCTCAGCGCGTATGTTAATTCGTGAACATGGAATAGACATGAAATCAAGTAGGTAGACACACAGAGAATGTTGTTGAGCGAGACACCCAAAAGTCCAATGCTAGTCGTTGCCCTCAGGTTGACGGCCAGACTCACAAGGAGAACCGCTTCGGCAGCAACAATCAGGTCTAAGACCAGAGCGAGCCACCTTTGAATGCAGTACAGCAAATAATACGGCCGCTGAGACACATCTAAAAGCTTAGAGCTCTTCTCAGAGAACCTCTTCTGCCAGCCGAAGGCCTGGATTGTACTGAGGCCATTCATAGTATCCATATAATGAGAATATAGCGGGCTCCTGCTTTCTAGATCGAGAAGTCGAAGCTGTCGCGATGTCTTCAGATAGTAATGCTGCACCACAAACACTGCCGCAATGAGGAACGGCACAGTGATAGCCATCCAGGTCGAGCCGGTTGCAATGAGAGCAGCAGCAGCGATTGCGGTGAAAAGGTCTGTACGTTGTCAGTATGCTATCCTGGCAGATATAGTTTCTGTCCGCCCGCTGGGGGGTTGCAGCTACTACCTGCATAACGGGTGATGGCTTACTTGAAACCGTGACCAGAAGGCCAACGGGTAGTTGACTCTCAATCAAAGTCATGTCCTGGCTAAATCGATTCAGAAGTGCGCCACTATCCATGGTTGCAAGCGTGGTTGGAGACGCTCTGATGCCAGTTAGCGAGGGACAACCTGGAACAAGGCATCGAAGCACATGTACATACCCCATGACAGTCTTTAGGACAACATAGTGAAGCTTGCGTGCGGTGGATGGCGATATGAGTATCAAGATTGCCCTAGTTTCAGGTAAGCTCACACCATAGAAGCCGTAGTGTAGCTGACTTACCAGACATAACCACCCATACATATGACTTCCAATAAAGCCAGCATAATGTAGACTGTCACGTAGAGCGCTCTCTGTTCTCCCCCTCGGCTAGTCCATCTTTCCAGCCATATCTCTAGAAGCAAGGATTAGAGGACAAAGATGTGGTAGGACTGGAGGCAACGTACGGCTAAAGGTACTGCAGAAAACATTAAGAATCACGAAAAGAAGGAATAGCAGGGAACTTGACCACCCAATCGAACGCAGATAATATTTGTACACTTGATAGTCACCTGTTGACCGCTTCAAGTCACTGAGCTGATTATCCTTGGCGATTTGCGCCGCATCCTCTTTAGGCATGAGGATATTGTTTTCTTTGCTACCCCTTGGTGTGTCTATCGTATCATGATCAGGCGGCTCGGGAGAAATAATATCACCACAGTCGTCCACTTCGAGTGAATCATTAGAAATGACTAGGGTCTTATCGGCATAAGCAAGAGATGCAGCTAGAGAAGGGTTAACCACAAAGCCAGCGAAGTCAACGGTTGCCGTACTGCACTTACTGTCATGCGTAACGAGAATCACTGTCGAATTGAGCTTCCGAAAAACACCCCTTTCCCCAAACAACCGTTCAAGTATCAGGCTCTTGGTATTTGTGTCCAATGCACTGAGAACGTCATCCAAGATAACAAGATCCTTTCGAGCATACACTGCCCGAGCCAGAGCGACTCGATCCATCTGTCCGCCACTTAATCTCGCACCCAAGCCACTGCCGATCTGCATGTCATCTCCTTCGGGGATAAGGTGCAGGTCCTCGTCGAGAGCACAGGCCCGAAGCACGGTACCGTACCATTCGTGATCGATACTCCGCGAGCTTTCCTTCTCTGTTGTGACTATCGCACATATTGCGTTTCGTATGGTGGTAGTTGGCAACCACGTTCTCTGCGCGCAATAAGCTATGCGACGAGTAGTCAAACTCACCGACCCCGTCTCGCATACAACTTGGCCGAGAATAGCTCGGAGAAGAGTAGATTTCCCTGATCCCACCGGTCCGCGGATAGTGAGAATCGCACCCCGAGGTACCTGAAGGTTGATTTGGTTCAGCAAAACTCTGCCCTCAGGGTCCGGGCGGATGCTAGCATTTTCAAAAGCCACAACTAGAGAGTCTGTGGTGGTAGGATTGACAATGAGCGATGGGGTCTGTTCTGCAGCCTCAGGCATTGACTCAGTACAAGCATTATTGGCCATCATAATTTCTTGACTGTCTTGCAATAGGTTGTTTTCGGCAGGTATCAGAAGAAAGCTTTGAATCCTATCGAAACAACCCAAGGAGGCTGCCGTTGAGGGGATGGCGCTCAGAAGCTTTGCGGCCGGGTTAGTCAGAAGTGTGATTATAGACAGACTGGTGAATGTCTTGGTGAAATCGAGCGAGTGGCCTTGCACAGCAAAAACTGTAAATGTTAGCGCAGGAGCCAATGCCCAGGGTAGATTCTGGATCATGTTCTGCCACACAATATGCCATCGAAAGGAGGACATCTGCTGCGTCTCGCTGACCCGTTTCTTCTGGATGGTGTCAGTAAAAGCCCTGCTTAACCCCATTCGCTTCACGACTTGGATGTCGGTAAGCATTGAAGTGATGATTGCAAGGCGCTGTTGCACCGCATCCACCCAGATCTTTTGGCTGTTCCCGATATTCTTCGATATGTAGGTGCAGGCAAGACAAGAGACTATTATCCATAGGGATCAGTCGATGCTCCTGTCTAGGTGTATTATGGGATTCACCTACATATGACGATTATAACAGGAATCGCACTTACCCACCCTAGGCGGAGCGTGAGTAAGAAAATTCCAATGGCTACCTCGATGATGCGTGCCCAGCATTCATGCAGCTGGACAAGGCACGCAGCTATCCGATCAATATCGGTGGTCATTCGAGTGATCGCGGCTGACCGGTCCTCTAGCTTTCCATCCGGAATATACAGCATATGCTCGTACACCAGCGAGGAGGCTGCTCCTCGGAACATGGTAATAAAGCGATACAGAAAGTGATTGGAGTGAAGGGTAGAGATCGCTAGGCCTAGATACACCAGGGGTGTGGCGGCAATGAGACCGTGGCCTCGTTCGGTGCTTTGTCCACTGCCAAGCCAATCAAGAAGCGCGGCGATCAGGAAAGGCTGCGCAAAGGTGAAGCCGATTAGACACATCCGTGGAAATACTGCCATCAGCAGAGGCTTCCACAGCGCTTGACATAATTTCCACGGGAATTCAAAACGGCGTGCTGGGATCCTGCGCCGGGCCCAAACACGCTGGGCCCTTTCGCTGACAGTTGCCGAATTCAGCGCCTGGTCGAGACTATACATATCATCGATCGTTAATAGACGTCGTGATCCAACAGTAAACATGTGATTCAGCCACCACATGAACGACCGGTTGATGATTCCACTGGTAGATTCAGGGGGTAGATCTCGATAGGTGTCTGTCAGGTACTGTCGCTTCTCAAGACTCTCGAGCAGGAGCATTACCATCTTAGACCCTACGCTTATCGTGAAGAGCACAGAAAGGAGCATGGTCTCTGGGAGACGTAGCCATAGAGTGCGGGCCTGGACTATGTCGAATAGCAAGGTAAGGAGGAGGTATGCAGTGAGAAGTGAAGAAGGTATGGCCGATCGGCCATCTTCTAACCAGCTTAACACGAGAAGCTCCATTGCGACAATGAGATTGATCGAGGCTGACGGCACCGAGGCTTTGGTGCGAGGTAAATCATGACGGGTCCAGCACACAAGGAGCGCGAGTTGGATTAGAGCAAAAGTCAGGGTCACGGCCTGTCACTCGTATGAGTTCCAAATAAGATTGGTTGTCTTGGTGATGAAGTGCCTTACTAGCTTGACAAACCGTGGAGAATTGCGCTGGGTTCGTGCATCTTTCTTGATGAGGTAGCCAACTCGTAGCGGAGAGGCCAGCAAGAAGACCGCCGCAGGAAGAATCCCGAGGATGCT